TATTACCTGTTCTGTTCATTCCCTCTTGGGGCACTTGGCATTGGCCATGTTGGAAAATTGGATACTCCATGCATATGGACTACATATAAGCTTTCTTGGCCCTTAGTTAAAGACACGCTGTTGAACTTTTCTCTCAACTGTTTGTTTTAGGAATTGGTGTAAACATATTTGTTAAATAAAACAGACTTTTATATGGAATTTGGATTAAAAAAAACCCCTCTCTTCAATTAATCAGGTTTCATTTTCATGGATTTTCTGATGTCATTAATTAACCTCTGACCTTGGTAATCCATTAGTCTTCCAGGACAGATAAGGCTTGAGTTTCTCTTCATCATCAAGCAGCAAAATTGTGCACAAATGAGCTCTTCATTTTAGTGAGTCACTTTTGCTCTAGCGAGGGGGAGGCCACAGTTCTCAGAGAGACCATTCAGATTGTCTTGAGAGCCTAATAAAAAAGGACTCAGAAATGGCTTTTTGAATATGTGCAAGGTATATATAGGATTGAGTGCTCCACTCCCTCTGGCAAACTGAGAAAAGCCAGTTGCAACTTTTACTATGCTATCTGCACTTTGACCACTTCATAACCATGCCAATCACAACTGTTTAGGTCTGACTGCCCCGTGAGCAGATAATTCTCCATTATATTCAACTGCCTTGCCTTCGGTGGAACTGTTTTTGACACGGGCTATAGTTGGGTAGAGATGTCATGAAGAGCCTGCCTTTCCCTGTGCTCAAAAAGCAACGTACTTAAGTGTCACGGGGGAGAGTGCGTGAAAAAACAGAAAAGGAGAGAAGGTGACATACATTGGAGGAGGCAGTAGGGAAAATGGTATTAGTGAGATTCTGTTTCAAATGTAGAAGATACTTGTAAGCAAAAACAATCTCTTAGGCTCAGAGCAGAAAACTTGTTCTTTCTTCTTCCTAACCTTTCCTGTAACTGAAATAGCTAAAGAGGTTTCAGACATTCAGACTTTCTGTAAATGAGTCATCTCTGGATTAAAACCAAGCACAGAAAGTTGTAGCCCCAACGAATATTTTTTCTCAATATTGTGAGAAAAAAATGGGATCGTAATCATGTGTAGGGTTTGCTTCTGTTAAGTGTTAAAAGCTATATACTGCTAATTTGTGTTGAGAACTTCATCAAATAAGTCACTTAACAAAAAATTAACCTTTGTTTCTTGTTAGCAGTGCTTCTCCACTTTATTTTGAATTTGTGTAGCACTGGTAAAGAACTAAAGATGAATCATAAATGATGCAATTTTATCCTTAATTGTAAGGCTCTGGTATTTGAATCAAGGTTGTGTAGGGGGAGGAAAAAAGATGTCACCCAATGTGAAGAAGGCACCATTAAACATAACAGGAAACTATGAGCTTATGCAACTGTTTTTATGTTTGTCGTTCTGTAAATCACAAATTTGCAGAGTAAAATGTATGCAATAGCATTCTTAGTAATAATGAGTTAGAGAGATTTTTATTTTCTGGTTTTCCTGAAGAATGTTTCAGAAGAAAATATATTTAAATTGCTTATGAGTGCATATTTGGAAGTCTTTGCTAATTTCTGTCTATCTATTCAAATAGTTACATTTAAACAATTAGTCATAAAAGAAGAGGCACTTAGGCCTCGTTTATACTTGCCCGGAGATGGACATTCCAGCGATTAATCTTCTGCAGTCGATTTAGTGGATCTAGTAAGCACCCACTAAATGAAATGCTGACAACGCCCTTGTCAACTTGGATACCCCACAGGGTTACGAGGAGTAAGGGAAGTTGACAGGAGTGTTTATCCTGGGGCGGCTTCACTATGGGGTGCTTGACAAAACTTGGGTTTAAGGTATGCTGACTCCAGATACGCAATTTTCATAGCTGGAGTTGTGCATCTTATGTCAAATTCCTAGAGTAGTGTAAATCTGGACATGGAAGCCTGAATAATTGCAGAGTAGGACATCAGAAGAAAGCGAGCCACTGGACTCCAAACTGACCTTTGCAGGTATTATAGAAATGGATGAAGATATTTAAAATTGGTGTAATTAAGACTTAACAAAATACATTCAGGATAGGGTTTTGGAACTCTGCATCTTCCCCACCCTCCGGCAGTAAATTTTTAGCACACTGGCAAGCAGCCCGGTTCAGTCTCAGCTTGTGCTGGGTCCATGACCTACCCCTGCTGTAGCTCTGCATTTATAGTGTTTTAAGAGCTGAGCGAAAGGCATCCCAGCTTCGTTCTGGTTTGTGCTGGGTCCAGGAGCTCAGACGCCCCCTCCCCGCCCTCGGACAGGCAGCAGAGACAGCAGCATGGGGCAACGGGCAGCCCATACATGTGGGGAGTTGGTTTTTAAACTGTCTCCCCAGCTCCTGCCTGGCACCCCATGCTGCTGCCTCTGATACAGAGGCAGCAGTGCAGAGTGGGGCCAGAATGCATTGGCTGCTGGCCCCATCCCTGGGGACTATAAGGGATAAGAATTCATGAGGTTATTCGACTATTCAATTAATCGATATTTAATGTCCCTAGAGTGCACTGGCTGATGGCTCCGTCCTCTGTAATTATACATAGTTGAATTAGCTAGGATGTACCCTATGATCCAGATGAAAATTTGCCATCGTGTCCTGCACATGCCTGAAAGCCTTCCTGATTTCCTCTATGCTTATCATACAGACATCAAGGCCTTCTGGATCAAGTAAGGGCCTTGAAGGCCCAGAATCAAGGTCCTGAGCTTAATGGTGCAAATTAGTATCAGTTTAGCTTGTTTCACATAACTGTGATGCAGTGCCTTTTCTTATTACTAGAAGAACAATAACTGAACTAGGGATGTTAAATAGCTACTAATTTGCTAGTCAAGTAGTCGATGGAAGTTCCATTGACTACTCAACTAGTTGATAAGCACTTCCATGTTACACCTTTGAAATGTACAAACGCCCCAGCAGGGGGCTCTTTTACATTTCAGAGCAGAAGCGCCCGTGTGGAACCCAGAGTCAGCAGGACTTCTCACTGGCCCTGGGCTCCATGCCATGTTATAACTTTGAACTGCACAAGAGCCACAGTGGAGGCTCTTCTGCATTTCAAAGTGGAACTGCCCATGTAGAGCCTGGAATCAGTGGGGGACTGAGTCCCCCGCTGACCCCAAGCTCCATGCTGTGCCTTCTCTTTGAAATGTACAAGAGCCCTGGCCAGGGACTCTAGTACATTTCAAAGCTGGCACACGGCTTGGAGTCCGGGATCAGCTGGGGAGCTGAGCCTGGGCTCCAAGCAGTGCTGCCGCTTTGAAATGCCATGTGGAGCCTGGGGTCCACTGGGGACTCCCCAGTTGACTCTGGGCTCTATGCAGCGCTGCTGCTTTTAAGTACCTCCTTCTTCCCTTCTCCCCACCCTCCCTTGCTGCCTCTATCTGATAGAATCAGTGGGAGGGAAGGGGGAGCAACTAGTCGACTATCCTGTTGACTATCGGATAAGCATTTGCTTATCCAGTAGTTGACTAGTCCTTTACATCCCTAATCTGAACTGCTGTCAAGCTATCAGGATATTTTGGGACAGGTAAACTTTGTCAGATAAGTTCAGACCCCTTTATTCCAGGGATATTAGCTATCATAGAATACTAGGACTGGAAGGGACCTCGAGAGGTCATCGAGTCCAGTCCCATGCCCTCATGGCAGGGCCAAATACTGTCTAGACCATCCTGATAGACATTTATCTAACCTACTCTTACATATCTCCAGAGATGGGGATTCTACAACCTCCCTGGGCAATTTATTCCAGTGTTTGACCACCCTGACAGTTAGGAACTTTTTCCTAATGTCCAACCTAAACCTCCCTTGCTGCAGTTTAAGCCCGTGTAATTGACTAGTGTAACTGCATGAAATCTTAGTGGTTACATGACTGTTTAATAGTCCCTGGTGGTAGGGATGCGTATTGGCTCCAGCCTACTCATTTCACCTTCCGTGCTGCTCCCTCTCTATCAGAGGCAGTAGTGTGGGGGTAGTGGAGGCAGGCCGATCTGGTGCTCGTGGGGAACTGGCTTTTAAGTTAGCGCCTCATAGGCACTGGCTCCCACTTACCCCCTCTCCCTCCTTTGCTGCCTCTGATAGAGGCATGGGGTGTTGGGGGGAATGTGTGTAGTCAACGAAATTAACCAATAAACCCAGGCTTATCAACACGATGACATCCCTGCTTCATTCCAGCAACGGGCAGAGGAGCCGTGTAGTCATCTTTACAGACAAAAGTGGTGTTTAGCTCTGACGTTAAGACACACATTTAAGTTAATAGAATTTTAGATTTTGTTATGGAATCTGTTACCCTATTTAGGGATCCCGGAATGCCTTAGCTTGCAATCTGTTAAATGTGTGTGTCTACTTCTTTTTTTAAGCCAGGAGGTTTAGCCACCCTGAGATACTATTTTTAAAACATAAGAAGAGGTATATTATCTTTTCCACCTAAAAAACAGTAGCTTTTCATGTTTGAGGGTAAGCCATTCATTCTTTGCTTCTTTAAGCTGCAACTTTTGTGTTCCATTTTGAGTTTTTTTTGGAGACCACTACATGCAACTCTTCAGTTTCCTTATATTTGAATCTGGAGATGGGTATCTCTTGGATAAAAGATAATTACTTGTGTGTAATTTTTGCTCACTGAAGATGGTCTGTTTTGGTTTAATAGTCATCAACCCTGATTCCTCCTCCAAGTTTTAGTTTTTCTGTAATTTGTATTTACACATAATTGGCTCCTTCTAGGAGTTACTACCTCTTGTTTAAAAGGAAACCTCATTTGTACCTTTAGGTACTTTCCCAATACAATAATAAACTAACTTTGAATTGTAGGTGTTGGGAGTAGGACAGCATAGCAAGTGTTTGAGGCATACCTTTGGATGCCTTGGAGGCTCATCAAAACTATGGGAGTTCCTGACTGGTCTCACACAGGAATCATTGACTCGAGAAGGGGGATTCATAGAGAAAGCTGTACTTAAAAGAGCAAGAATTACAGGTAGGTAACTTTTTTCTCCTTTTCTTTATAGGTTTGGAAGAACAGCCTTCTAAGATGCTGAAAAATCTGGATTTTTAATTATATACTACTTTAAAGAAATATAAGGCGTTGAAGAGTGAAGCTGCCTCACAGTTTATTTTATGGTATCTGTTCCTCTTTTTTTCTGTATTTAATATCAAAGAAAGACCATGAGCACAGTAAGTATTTTTTAATGAAATAACTGTGTAACTGGTTATCTAGTCCATTATTATTTTTAGACTTATGGCCATTTTAGACTTGCACCATTTGAAAACATAATGGGTGTGTGTAGACTGGCCAATTTTTCTGGAAAATCAGCCGCTTTTCCGGAAAAACTTGCCAGCTGTCTACACTGGCCGCTTGAATTTCCACAAAAGCACTGACTTCCTACTGGTAGAAATGATTGCTTCTTGTGGAAATACTATTCTGCTCCTGTTCAGGCAAAAGTCCCTTTTGCGCAAAGCTTTTGCGCAAAAGGGCCAGTGTAGACAGCTCAGATTTGTTTTCCGCAAAAAAGCCCCAATCGCGAAAATGGCGATCGGGGATTTTTTGAGGAAAAGCGCATCTAGATTGGCATGGACGCTTTTCCGCAAAAAGTGCTTTTGCGGAAAAGCATCCGTGCCAATCTAGACGCTCTGTTCCGAAAATGCTTTTAACGGAAATCTTTTCCATTAAAAGCATTTCCGGAAAATCATGCCAGTCTAGACGTAGCCAATGTGTGGTGTGAACGACCTGGAGAAAATGGAGATTGTAATAAAAGTAAATTAAGGTGCAATGTAATCCCATATTGGAATAGTCCTGCTTTTGCCCAAACTAACTGAAGGTATTGGAATCTCCAATTGATGCAGTTGTGACCTACGCCTTGTGATCACCAGTGATCACATGAAGCCATCTTTCCTGCTTGGCCCAACTAGTAAGAAGCATTGTGGTGTGCCTTTACTTTGGAATTTACAGTTCAGATATTGAAATGAATTCATACAAAGAAGTGTATGTTTTAGTCTTTGAAGTAGAATGTTAAATACTACTGTAAAGGTCTGTGCTAATACTAGCTTTAAAAAACATTCTTTTTACTCGTAGACTCAAAGAAAACGTCGTGGAAGAGCCATTAATTCTAGACAAACGCAAAAACGAAACAGACTAGTAGCTTCAGTTACAGAAATGGCTTCAGAAGCAGAGCCAATAGAACTTGAAGAAAGTGGTAAGTTTAAAAAAAGGGGTGGGGTGGATTTGCTTTTGCATTTTTGGGAGCCTAAATGCATAGGTGTATTAGGGATTTGTGGGGCCTCTTTTTTCCACCCTTTGTCTACAGTCTCTCTTGTCCCCTGCCCTGCTTCTCTTCCCCCTTCCAAACTCTCTAGCACTCCTGCTGGGGAAATAGGGTCAGAGCATGGGGACTTGCCCTGTCCCCCCTTCAGCACTCCTGCTAGAGAGATGAATTGGGTTGTGGGGGCTTCACTTGACGCTCCTATCACAGTGCAAGAGTCTTTTATAATCTTCTTGATATCTGTTTAGGCCCTCTGCCACATATTGGAGGAGGTTGTTAGACTTTGTAAGACAGTAAGCAGCAGCGCCTCTACATAGTGACAGTTTTGCACCTTCTCTTATTTGACAGTGCATTTGAAAGTTCTTGGGGGACCTTGCTGAAAGGAGTATGATGGTGGGAAAGTTCCTAGGTATCATAGAATAAAATAATGTAGAAAACTTGTTTCTCTAAGAGTATTCAATTAATACATGAAACTAGTGGTACTTGCCTCACACAATATGTAAGACTATGAGGAGGGTGTTTGTGTGTATGGAATGGGCGAGAAAAAAAACTTCTGCAGTTTCTCTGTTGCTGCAAATGAAGACGTGTGCTAGTAATATTGACTCTATTAGCATTTTAATGAGGCTCTGAGAGCCTGAGTAAGTAATGTCTGCCGTAATGAGGAATGGGGGACACAAACTGTGAGCACTTGGTAAATGGTAGCATTATATAGGTTCATCCTGTGTTGTGCCTTGTGAAATGTCAGGTGTTCTACAGCTCTCCATTGCTATTACCTTAACTCTTACTGTTTGTATTTTTAAGCTGGTGAAGAAGTAGTAGATCTCACATGTGAATCTTCTGAACCTGTAGTAGTTGATCTAACTCACAATGATTCTGTTGTGGTAAGTAACTATTGGTGTACTTACCTAATTCTCTGGTCAAATTACCTTTATGCTTTGATCCTTAGAGGTTAGAACTTGGAAAAAGTTTACAGGGCATCCCTGCTATACGCCCAAGATACTTTTGCTATTCAGCCATGTTTTTTTGAATGTATGTAAAGCGGGGAAATTTTTACAGCAGCTGACGTCCATTTGCGCAAATTGACCTCATTTTATGCATGTGACAGAAGAGTGGGGAATGGGAAGACTTAAAACGGAAAAGTGATATAAATATCAGTCAAAACAGTTCATTGGTTAAACTATTACAATTGGAGGTTTAACTGATTAACCATTGGTGGGGCAGGACAGGGTCCTGCTGTATCTGTGGGGCAGGCATGGAAGGGGTTGTTCCAGGCCAGCCTGACCACCGCAGCCGGCTGAATGCAGCCCACAACCCCATCAGTGCTACGAGGAGTCCTGCCTGCTAGGGCTGCTCCAGCGCAGGCAGTGGCCAGGGTCCTGCCTGACCATCACACTGCCCTGTCTGTCACCCTTACACAAGCAGAATTCTGCTGGCCATCCCTACGTAGTCAGGGCTGCTCTGGCCTGGTGAGGCTGGCTGTCCACCAAAATTTGGGAAAGGTCTAGCTACTGGATTACCCAGTAAGCATTCCTAATATTGACTGGGTAATGGTTAAACTTTTACATCCCTAGTTTTAACTGAATACTGAAAACCTCTTGTTATAGTACACTATCGATGCAGCCAAACTGCACAGAACAAATGCTATCTGATGAACAAGATACAAGGGTGGGATTTTCAAAAGTACTCCGCATAGGTCTGTTTCTGCTCCTGTGGAAATAAGTGGAAAATTCCTATTGACGTAGAGAAGAAGATAGGTCAGTGAAATAGTTTAGAAAGTCCCACTCAAGTTGTCTGAGGAAAAAAATCCATTTTTGAAGGAGGTGTTTGTCAGCCTTTTATCCTAATATTGACTGATAGTTGCAATATACAACTTTGCATGGCTTGCATCTGTTACTGTAGTAACATGCCTTGTTACTGTAAAATCCAGCTGTGACTTATCTTGCATGAGGGTGTGTGGCCAACAGCACTAGTTTGACTTCCAGAGTTGGTGATATGTTTCCAGCCGTATACATGATTATTGCTCTAAGCAGGCCTCATTCCTCCTGGCAATGCTTATAGCTATGCTCATTCTCATTCATTTGTAGCTAAAGTTTTCTGATATGTTTGTAAAGCACACAACAAAATATTAATACAAGATTGTTGAAGGTGAGTAGTCATATTTCTTATATTTCCAATTGACAATGGAATTGTAACCATTTGGCTATGCTATGTATAGTATGTGCACACATTACTAACAGAGATGTTTTCCACCCGACTCCCTTTAATATTGTCTAACTTGTTTGTCTTCCGGAACGTATTGCTTATATTGTCAAACTAAACTAGTTCACTGAAATGAAATCAAATTTATTGCTATTAATTACTAGTAATCAACACACTCATTAACTCTTCAAATGCTGTATTAAATAGTTTAATCGCAGTGAAGGTTTCCTTAATGTGCTGTATCAGCACTTAACTCTTGAAATAACCCCAGTGTTGTGGTTGTCCTGTGATACAGTACTCAACACTTACTACAGATAGTAGAAGTTATAGTTTCAGGAAGTAGACTAAATTGGAAGATACGAAATCTAATTTGTTGGTCCGCAATGAAGTGAAATTTGGCCAAAATATCAAATGCTTTGTACAGTTGGACTTCACAATCCCCTGCTTTATATAAATATGATGAGACACTTTCACGGCTTCTTATTAAAGTATTTGTAGAGCAGCACTAATTCCCAAGACTTGATATATTTTAGACACAGACAACTTAAAAGAATACTCAGATTTAATGTCAGGAAATGTCAGAATTACAATTGTCTGTGCAATTTTACTTCATTCCCCTTGTTCATAGGTAGCATGATATTTTTCAATTACTTGGTCAGATTAATGTTCTACAGAATCTGTCATTCAGTGCACTAACTGATGGTGCTCAGGAATGAATCAAGGTTACACAATGAATTATAGTGTTGTCTGTTGGACCTTTGCTTCTTTTTAACATCTTTCAGAAATTGAAAGGTACGTAGTCAGTGAGGCAGAGGTCTGAAGGGAAGATAATCTCATGTTTTATGGCACTGACTGCTGCTCTAGAGAATTGTATTCTATCCTGTCTCTACCTGATGTTGTGGAATTTACTTAAAACAAACTTTACAAAGGTGGCTATTAATAGTGCACTCATTTTCTGAGTGCCCAATCTGTAAGAGATGAGACTTCTGGATGTGCTGAACGTTCTTAGCTGCAACTGAAATTGGTGGAAGCTCTACTCTGAATGTATCCAATGCTATAAAATGCTGAATACTGTGAAAAAATCATCCTTGGTGTATCAAGTTGGGCACCCAGGATTAATGAATGCTTTTGACCTTAATGTCTCTTTGCCCTGCTTCCTTACCTGTTAAATAGGGCCAATAGTACATCTTACCTCATGGGTGTGGTAAAGACAAATTCATTAACATTTGTGAAGTAAATAAATGCTACTGTGATGAGTGGCATGGGAAAAGGTCATGAAAATATCTTAACATTTTTGTATTTACAGCAAGAACAGAAGGGGGTCACCTTGTATAATGCATGTCAAAACAAATATTGAGTAGCTGCTCATTCAGGCTATGTCTATAGAGCAGCATTATTTCAGAATAACTGAGGGGCTTCTGCGTTTGAAATGTACAAGAGCCTGGCAGAGCTCTTGCTGTAGTTCTAAGGTGGAGGCATCCTTATTGACTAGTTGATGGAAATCCCATTGACTGTTTGATTAGTTAATTAATCTAAATTTAAGATCTCTTGTGGACACTGCAGTCATTGTTTCAAAATAATGGCGAGCTGGAGGACTTCTTACTCCAACTCCTCTAACCCTCATTTTATGAGGAGTTAGGAAAGTCAAAGGAAGAGTTCTTTCTTCAACTTCCTGCTGTGTAGACAGTGCCAAAAGCTGAATTAAGCTATTTCGAGGTAAGCTATGCAATTGACGCAGCTCAGGTTGCATAGCTTAATTGGACTTTAACCCTGCTGTGGAGAGCAGACATCCTGTGGAAAAAGCATGTGATCGTAATAAAGACTGGGCCGCTGGGTGAGGTTTGGGACAAAGGAGGGAGGAGTTGCACCAGGCCCCATGCTCCCCAAGGGATGGCTGTGGTCATTGAGTATGGCCTTTTTTAAATGGAAGCTTCTGTGGGTTCAGGTACCAACTCGAACAAGCTTTTGCTGAGTTTGTGCAAACAGGCTTCTTCAGAAGTTTATAAATTGGACAAACTTGGGTATATTTTTCAGTGAGATGGTAAAAGCCAAATTGCTGACACTCGTGGCCAAATACACACACTTCCTCTTGACACTCAAATGTCAATTTCCTGCTCCAAAGCATAAAGAGAATAGAATTTCTCAGTGTAACTATGTACATTTTAAAAACATCTTTAAGGTAGTGTTTCTTAATCTGTTTTCAGAAATAGCCAACTGTGTTGCTGGAATTTTCTAAAAAATTCATCCTGAATCAGACACATACTTAGTTTAGTGATTGTAACTACCTTTGTTTAAAGTGTTATTGGGGAAGAGGCAAGAGCTAATTTTATAACTAGCATAGCGAAAGAAGGGTTAGTTGCAGCTTTTAAGGATTACCTGTATTATACATATGCACTATAGAGCTGTATTCCTGACTAGGACTCTACGGTGCATATGTATAATATGGATAATCCCTAAGAGTTGCAACTGAACACTGGAGACAATAGCTTAAATGAACACTGGAGACAACGTTATCAGCCATTTCGAATTAAGCTATTTTTAAAAAGCCTCCTGCATGCTGTTGCCCATGTTCTGGTCTTTTTATTGCTTATCTCTTCCTTTACTATACAAGTTAGCTCCTGCCTCTTCCCCAATAACACTTTAAACAAAAGCAGCTACAATAACTATGCAATGCAGCTTCCTTCTCAGATGTGACAGGATGCAAAACTGAAGAACTTGTCTGTATGAGGAAATTTAGCTGCATAATTACGTTATATAACCATGATATTAGTGCCATCATTGTGAAAGTAAGTCTACTCATGTAAAAAAGGTGTGAGACCCATATCTGTTCTTCTAGTTGGAATAAGGACAGTTAGACTAATTTCAGTTTTAATATACAATTTTGTATTTGTTTGGGTAGCTGGAAATGTTAAGTTCTACAAGTAAACTTGCTTTTAATTAAACTAAATACAGATGTGCTCATTTAAATAGTGACACAACAGTGCATATTTAATGCATTGGAGAAATAATATAAAATCCTGGAAATACACCTAATTTAACAAAATTAAATTGTAGAGAATCAACGTCAACGGAGAAATCTAGGACTAAGAAGCCAACGTCAATCTGATAGCTGTATATTAAGTAGTGATGATGAAGATGAATCAAGAGATAATGATGTATATGTAACAAATAAAGTGTCTGGAGATTTAGAAACACTGGAAGATGAAACTGCAAGTTCAAGGTATGTACTCTATGCAGTTTCCTGTAAACATGTAAAATGCAACATGTATATGTTTAAAAAACAAAACAAAAAAAACCACTTGACAGACTGAAAAGGATGAGTGAGGTGGCATCCTGTATTCTGTCATCTCCTTTGAGAACAGTAATATTAAAACTGCTATTGAAATAAGGAGAAAATGGAACAGTATGTTTAAATGACGGCAGGGGACTGGACTTGATGATCTCTTGAGGTCCCTTTCAGTTCTAGTATTCTATGATTCTACAATATTGAGACAATAATACTGGTACTTTTTTTTTAAGTCACCTGAAGACACGATATAGAGGAATAGCAAGAGGAAATGCTAAGCAAGAGGAAATGCTAATCAAAAGCTACAAATTATAACTTTACAGCATTGTTCTTTCTTACAAAGTTCAAGGACCATTGTGAGAGGCAACTGTTTTCACCAGTTAAAACACCCACCAAGATTTTTTTCTTATAAACCTTTTATAATTTTTGTAGCTTTCCTCTGAACATTCCACTCATCATTGTCTCATGTGGCAGCTAAAATTGGACATATTACTCCCATCGTAGGCCTTGCCTGTCCTGAGTGGAACAACTGCCTCCTGTGTCTTATGTTGGGGGGGGGGAGCAACAGGAGCTGAGTCAAAATGGTAAACTGGTTAAGTACTCTTGTTTAACTGGTTAACTGTTTTAACATCTCTAATCTCCATGAGACCTCTGTTTCTAGGGATCCATTATTGGTGCTCTGACTTTGAAAACTATTTGGGGAAAATCTTTCAGCTTTCTTCTCAGAGAAATCCCTTCATTAAATCTGCTAGGTAGAATGGCTCGTCTTTGTGGACTCTTGAAATTCTGTAAATTTTCATTCACCAAATCCAGGCACAACATTTTCATGTAGAATGACTATTCTAGCATTCAGCTCTTCCACTACATTCAGTGCAGTCTCCAGTTTTGTATTACACATTTCTTCCTTTCCCCTCACCTATATAAATCGGCTATTGCTACTTTTAATACTTCTTTGGCACTGAGGTCTGCAGGTGGAAGCTATAGGTACAGAACCTGAAAAGAGGCATAAAATCTAAGTCTAAAAACTCTTCCTTTGAAGGCAATAGGTCAGGCAACATTAGAGTAAGTCTGAGCTCCTGAAGTGGTACAGTTATTGGGCAGGAGTCTGATTTGGCAACACAATCAAATTAATCCTGAAGGAATGATAGTATTAGATCTGTTTTGAAAATTGCCAATCAAGTGATTCAAACTTTCTGAGGATCAGCATGTAGATTTGTTTGATGTGAATTCAGTGCTCACTCAAAGAGGTAAATTGCACTGGCTGCAAGTAACCATTGTGTAAACTTACAAAAATGCCCCAATACCACTTCTGACCTAAAAATCTGGCTCCTTAGCCACTGGAATCTGGTGGTCACCAGACAGCTACATGAGTTGACCTTATTTGGTATAATAACTTGGCCGTTGCTTAATAGAAAAAAAAAATGATGAAACTTAGTTTGACCTAACTTTTGTCTTGAGTCTGACAGTTTAGATGCTAATGTACAAACCCACTGTTTGACCCACCTCTCGGGTAGCATTTAGCCACATGCATGTTGGTGGTTGAGGAGTTACATATATAAAGTAAGATTAATTGAAATGAGAATAACTAAAAAAAATGGAAGCATATTGCTTGCACTCTGGGAACTCCATTACCACATCCCTGCCATATCCTCTTTACTGGAATTTGCTGGAAGGCAGAGTAGGTACTGCCTCTGCCTGGGCAATTCACTCAAGCTCCAAGAAAAACTGTAGGACTTTTAAAACCTGAGGCACTTCTGTGGCAAAATCAGATCCTTGTATAAAACTAATATAAGGGACATGGGAGCACACATTAAATGCTTCTGTGGTCTGCTGTCCTTGGAGCTATCAGTTTTCTATGAAGCTGGGCACTAATGATGTAGATTGCCTTGGAGTGTGGTCAATATGGGTTAATGTAAATCACTGATTTTTATTATTCATATCAGCAAGCAGTCAGACTTGATTTTAAATCTATTATAATTGTGTTTTGTACTTGTACTTACTGTTGTTTTTTAACCATTAAAATATTATTTGAAACTAAATGTGGCCTTGTCACTAAATTTGCTGCTTTTTCCTTTCCTGGATGAAATATAATGTACATATGTATTTAAGCCATTGTAGCTTAACTCGGTCTTTATACGGAGTCTCTCTTTTTAATTTTATTATTCTTAGAAAATGGTGAATATTTTATATACTAGATTATTTTTACTTGTCATTTGTATCCATCTCCGAAAGGAAATTCAAACTCAATTCAGAATACATTTTGCATTTTAAATTAACTGATTTAATAAACAAAGGGAAGGTATGTCTCTGATGAAGTGAACTGATTATTTCGGGTCACCATGTCATAGAAGACTTTAGAAATAGTTGACTCCTCTCACGCTTCAGTTTTTATTTGATGATTGGAAGAAGAAAACAAACTTTCCTGCTGTTCCCACTTCAAGTGTCTTAACTTTGAATGAACTAGTCACTCATGTGAACTAGTTAAATAAACCAAAATAATTAAAATAATTTCTCTATACTTGCAGAAGAGGTAAAAGGTGCTGCCAAAAACTGGCTTGCCACATTAACAAATGTATATTGAAGATGTTTTGCAAGTGTCTGCAACCTATTCAGTGGCTAATTTTCTTTAAAACTTGGCAGGAAATGTGTACTGCTTAATATTAATTTTTGCATTTAATGTAAATGGTTCTAATAAGTTTAGACTTTAATGTAGGTTATCATAATTTCAAATTGAATTTTGAATGGGTTTATTTTTAAGATATACGCTAGTGTTTAGTGTAAGTTTAAAATCCATTTTTCTATATCTATTCTTGTATACCTTGAATGGTGGAACACACCAATATGTATTCTATTCTGACATGCTGTCACTAGTCATAATTAAGTCTAACCTGAATAACTTCAGCATTCCAGCCACTGGTGAAAATATCAGGAGAAGATTGAAGGGAAACTCAGAGTTCAAAATAAATAATAAATAAAATTTTCAAGCAGGCTTCCCTTGTGCTCTGCATAGTATCTCAATTCATAGTAAGTTCCTAAGAACCCTCCTTCCCCCTTCTCTTTGTTTTGTTTGTTTTAAAGTTCTCTTATTTAATTAATTTGTGATTTGTATTGCTTGATATATAAAATGATGTGGTGAGCTTCAGCCTATAGAGGGACTTGGAACTGAAACATTTACATGATGTTCTAAAATGAAAACTTGGAACAATTCAATTCGCCTATTGCAATTTTTTTCTGCAAGGAACAGCTAGTTCTTAAAATTGTGAAATCTGTTCCAAGAAAGCTTCTGAAGACTGTTGCCCTTCTGTGTATTTTGTATTCTGTACAGAACTGCAAGCTGACACTGTTTTCAAAAGTTACTTCCTTGTTGTTAAGATAGTTACATTGGGGATGAAGGGAAAGAAATAGTAAACATGAAAGGATGAATGAATGAAAACAAGAACCCTAATCTCATTAATGTAACAGATTGAGAGCCTCACATGAACAGAGCCCTTGTGAGCCTTTGCTTCAGTATAATAGGATTTGGCCTAAAGCCTAGTTTCTTGAATGTGAGGAAAAGAGGTTCTTGCCTGAGACAAGGCTATGTAGACACTAAGGCTATGTCTATACAGCAGCATTATTCCGGAATAACTCACATTATTCTGAAATAACATAGTGGACATCTACACAGCAAGCAGTTATTTCAACATAATGTTGAAATAATGTCAAGCTGGAGGACTTCTTATTCCAACTCCTGTAACTCTCATTTTACAAGGAGTAAGGGAAGTCAGAGGAAGAATGCTCCAGCTTGGGCTTCCTGCTGTGTAGACAGCACCAAAAGCCGAAATAAGCTATTTTGACTTAAGCTACACATTTGACATAGGTCAAGTTGCATAGTTCATTTTGGCTTTAGCCCTGCTGTGTAGATGTCATCAGACAAAAAATAACAAGATACAGTTGTCTGAAGTTTAAAGTGCTTGATGAAACTAACACATTGTTTTGGGGTTTTTAGGCCTTCAGGTACCGTTAGTTGTCCAATTTGCATGGATGGATATTCAGAGGTAAGAAACTACACCTTGTCTATAGCATTTTTTGTGCATTAAAGAAAAATTAAATGTGAGGTACAGAATGACTACATTTGTTAGCAAGTTGTATTTAAACCAAACCATTGTATACATTAGAGAAAATGTTTGTTTTAAGTCTCTGCATAAGGGTAATAGCATCTTCTCCAGGAGCTTTTGTGGGATTGTGCAAGTATTTAAATAGTAATTGAAATCTGATATGTTGAGCCATGTCATAAAACATCGTATCTGGAGTTACATTTGTTAAGGGTATCTTGCTCTTGAGAGTCTGCTCATGACGATGCAAGTATCCATGTTAAGTCAGATGCTGAATATTATGGATTGCAAAGATTTGCTGTTAACTACTTGTGTTATGCAATCAGTATTGCTCTTGTGTAAAGTTCCTCCCCCATAGACTTCAGCTTTAGTTTCTTCTCTTTCAGATTGTACAAAGTGGGCGACTTATTGTGTCAACCAAATGTGGCCATGTCTTCTGTAGTCAGTGCCTCCGTGATTCCCTTAGAAATGCTAACTCTTGCCCAACTTGTAGGAAAAAACTCAGTCACAAACAGTACCATCCAATTTATATATAAGCACTTGAAGTCTTCTCAGGACAGCCTTGACTGGATCTTGGTGAAAATGTAATGCATTTGTGATGCCTTGAAGACTAAAGGAGCAACAGGTTGTATGCCTACCCAACTGTAGTAAAATGGATTTTTGGAGGATTAACTTGCACATAAACAGCTTTTTTATGGTCCAGTCCTATTGTCCAAAGTACATTCTTGATTTGTCACTTGTTTGTGTTAAAAGTTCTTGAAAGTCTGCAAACACAAGTCAGTATGTATCACCAATGAAGCACCTTCTGATCTGTTTCTCTCTACTTCTTTTGAAGTGCTTGAACATGAGTTCTGGATTTTCTTTAATATTTCTTACTTTTAATTACTCCTCTGTACCTTTTCCCTTCCCTCAAACAAATAAGTTAAATTACAATATGAATAAATGTTTTCATTTGAATCTTAATGTGATGCAGGTGGCAGGCAGCAAATTACTGTTGCTATTGCATGTGGTCTTACCTCCAATGCAGTTTATTCAAATTGAATGAGTCCTATGAGATGTGAACACTTAATGTAATATTAAATTGTATACCAGGGTACTGCATTGAGCTAATACACTGGTAGCCAGCAATCTTCTTTATTTAACTGGAAGTCTTGATATGCAAACCTATATTTGTGGGCTCTTTGAGGTCTATAGTACATAGCCAAATTGCAACTTCCGTAATATCAATGTGAAAGTATTTTATTTCTGGGTATCTTAACTGCCCAAGAATCACTTGATTTGAATCACAATATTGAAGTATTTCCTAATTTGTGGTTAGGTGATCTTTAATTCTGTTCAGTGTCTCTCTACAATCATAACTGAGCAGTACATAAATGTGTGTTGTTTTTTTTATGGCCATAGCCTGAATACTAGACTAGATAGATCTTCGACTTCTGTAAAGCATACCTACTGCAAGATTTGAAGTTCAGTACATTCACTGTGCTGTGTAATCTGCTTCTGTACTGACAAGTCTGACAGGTTTTAGACACATACAGTGCTAACTGTTCAGTGGTATAATTAATCTCAAGTATATGTAATTCAAGCTTCAGTCACTGGCTAGGTATTAATGATGTTGGGGTAGGAATTCTGAAAAAGTTCAGTCTAATTGGTCACTCATTGTCCTGAGGATTTAAATGTGCAATAAAGCTTGTATAGCTCTCTTAAAATATGTAAATGTTTGGTCAGGTGCATGTTTGGTCCAAAGGCTGCATCTGACTTTGCGCCATTAACCCATTTACTATTTATTTTCAGGACTGACTTCTGAATACTGTGGAATTTTTGTCAGCACAAAATGACAAGGAGGATACGGTGCTTGGGTGAATTGATACATTTAACTGTAATATGTGGGCAAGAACTTAACATCAATTTTCTATGATCTATAGGTACCTGACACTTGGGCCAATGTTTGTTCCAGAATACAATAGTCTAACAGTATCTATAAAAGCATCTTTAAAACTGGTGGTTAGTCAGTGAAACATGAACAAAAATAAACTGCCAGCTACTTTGAAGGCACAGGATATTTTTTCAGGTTTGTGTCTTTGTCCCTCCCCCCCCCCCCCCCAAACAAAACAAATTTCAGGATGTATGTAACTAAAACAGCTTATAAGTACTATGGAGAAAGGCTTATCTTAAAGTAGCTGCTCTAATTAGACATTTTAAACTTTGCGGGGGTGGGGGGCATTTAAGATTGTGCAATGTCTTATAAACTTCAGTATGCAGAATATGGTCTCTCAGTATGTTGACTGATCCTGGAGAAATTTAATACTTGTGCTACTCTAGTCCCTTACATAATCACGGTTTGTGCTTTTACAAGGAAAAGCCTGCTATACTGCAACTGATGCATCCTGTCAGTACTCATTACATATTTAAAGGGACATAATCACCAGTAATTCTCTCACCTGCATTGGATTATTTCAACCTAGTGCTAAATGAAGACTTAAAACATTTTCAGGACAGTGCGTATCTTTTTGCTTATAGAAAAATCTAAGATTTTTTTCTTTGCTTTTCTTCAAGATAAACTGAGCAAGAGCTTTAGTCTCTTAAAATTGTTTGGCAGCATCTGTCACATGCAGAAAAGGCAACCCACCATGACTAGTAATTTAGGACCACACTTGACTATTCCTCCCAATAGTTTCGAAATAAAAAGAATTAAGGTAAATGGATCTCATACCTAAGCAAATATATTTAAGCTTTTGTGCACAGGGAACGCAATAAGAGCGTATACATGTAAGGGATTAAGTAGCCTGTCCCTAGATCTTTAAGTACTAGCCTTAGATTGAATTGTGTTTTGCACAGTTTCCTCCATGTAACTCTCTTGGACTTTAGATACCACAAATTAGAATATTCAACAAAAGTTTTTAGCTTTTGTGACCCCCCCATTAAGTGCCAGATTTTGTTCATTTGAAAACAAATTTTAAACTTTAATATCAAAATGATAAATGTTAAAGTTAGATGATAATTTTAAAAAACTTGAGATAGATATATTCTTAATTTCCAGAAAAGGCAGTGGCTCAGTATAGCTCATGACATTTGCAAGAACTGATAGATAATATAAAGTTGTTTTGATTATGTAAATGTGTGTTTTTCCACTTGTCATTGTATATAGTTGAAAACTTTCTGTATTTAATTGTTCATGTTTGTATGTCAATCTACTTTGAACTCTACTTGTAGACAAATAATTCTTTTAACAGATGAAAATAAAACTATTAATTTGACCAATCAGAAGTGCTTTTATTTTAGTCCTCTGATATTACAAATAATTTTATTTGGGGGGAGGGGACTGAATTGATTGTATTTTCCTAAATCCCTATGGTTCCGCTTTTTTGGTAAACTTATCCATACTAGGTAGACTAAGATAAGGTACACCCAAGTTTTCCAAAATAATGTAATGCTTGAAAGCCTGTAAAGGGTAACTAAATAATTCAGTACTCTTGTACCGGTTCAATCAATACATAGTTAAGTATATACCTTCCAATGTAAACTTTTAAATCTGAACTGTCAAGATGAAGGGAATGAGAGGATAAGAAAGAAAAGGACAGGAGTCCGGCATCAGAGGATTGAGTTTTTAACTATTAAAGCACACCACTTTGCCAAATCTACAGAATTAAAGGGCAAAATACCCACCTGTCTTCCTCAATTTTTTTTACTTCTGGTCACTTCAAACTGAAATCTTGTTAAAACTATTTTCTCCAATTTTGCAACTTTCCAGTGCCAGTTAAGCCTGTATACATACTCTAGCCATTGATAGAGCATCTGCATCAGGATGGTGTATATGTACTGCATTAGGTAGTCACTGTTAATTAAACTTACTATGAGTGTGTGTTTCCTGTTGATCCTTATTTCCAATAGACTGATGCTTTTCTGTGTTTTTCTAGTTGCATTCTTTCCATTCCTCCCTACTCCTTCAACCAAACTCTCTCTTCTAGAATGAGCAATGAGAGAATTTTCCCATAGTCATACATTTTACACAAGAGGTTATTTTGATGTTTTTATTCTTCAAATTAATTTGACTATCATTGCCCATCTTCTGAGTGGCTGTCTGCTTTCTTAAGCCCCAATAATACAGGGAACCTGGGAGAGCTTATGATGGTCTGGATTGGAAATGCCAGCCATATTGGGTTAACATTCTGCTCTAGGTGTCACTTAGGAGGCAACACAGATAGTGCTTTGCCTATCTTTTTTAACATCAGGGTTTAACTACAGCAGTTATATCATGGAATGAAATTTTGTTTCCTTAACATAGATCCAGCTAATTCAGAACATCTTGATATGGCTACTTTCCACCACAGGCCTGTCTTATTACTCTAAGCTGGCTGTATAATGAGCACAGTCCAGTTCAAGGTTTCTTGACCACTAACATGCTTAATATAATAGGATCCTTTCTATACATGACTACTTCTCTCAATATCTCTCATGCACTAGTGTAGTGAAACGGTTAACCAATAGATGGATAGTCGTGACTGAGAGATTGAAAGCCCAACCACGTCTACAGAACCTCCTCTCAGATGAAACAAGGACTATTAACCTCAGTCTCCAAGATTAAATGCAAAACCGAACTCTTTGCTATCCATAGACTCAGGTAAGAATGTTATCCTCCTACCTATAAACACAGCACAATTTGCCTTACTCATCTATTCAACAGTTTTAATCTTGGCTTTCCCTAGGAAGGAAGGGAGGTGGCAGCAGTGGCTGTGACTTTGCAAGGAGCTCAGAAACTAGAGTACTTAGGGGTTAAGAACTCAGCTGTAACTTGAAATTATTGGACAGTGTGGAGTAAAAGTAGTAGTGCTCATTCAGACCTACTTCCCTTAACTAGGTTATTTTAGTGGTACACTCCAAATCAATTTTCCATTTAAAGTATAAAATAGAGGAACTTAAAGACCATTTACAAATTCCAGGTAGTGTAGGAGTTGCTGCCTGTTCTGCATGGTTTAGGACATGAGCATATCAGTCCTATGCTCTACTAGAGCCCAGGTAACTTCTGGTAACAATTTGTCTTTTTTGCCCCTAATTTTCAAAGCATGCCTGAGTAACATCAGGGTTGAATTTTGCTCTGTGACTCTTTTGTAAGACATGACAGCTCAAAGAGAACTCCTTCAGGAATATGGACAAAATATCCCTCTTGGAAAAGGCCTTTCTACCCTAAGTGACTCTTAGACTTTTCATACAGTGGTGTGTGGCAGTATAAAACCCCCTAACACAGTTGTACAATCAGGCTAACATATGTGCTCATTAGTGAGACCTTGTGCATGCTAGCTTGTAGAGAAGAGCACATGTAGGGAAGCAAAAAGTGTCTATTGGAATTAAGTACTCATTTGGGAAGTACCAGGGAGGGAATGGGTCTGTATTATGCTGGGGTAGCCTTAGGCTACCTGACAAGGTACAGCTACAGTGTTTGTCTGTGACTGCTAAATGTGGCTGCTACAACAAAGAGCCAAGTCAAGTATCCCAATACCACTTTTACCTTCCACCAGAACATGATGCACTACTGGGTAAGTGGAGCCAAAGGTGATGCTCATAATGGCTTGAGGCTTGGTGAGTAACCCAAGTCTCTGTGAGAGACTATTCTCCAGAGTGGTAGTCATGGTCTTCTTGCTCTGGTGGACAGAAGCCTTGTTTGAGGGAGAAACTGCTCAGAAGCAGGGCTATTCCTGAGGATCCTAAGTTACTTTCAATTGTTACAGTGGAGCTTGTTCTGCCATGTGATTCTAGAGCAGAGATGAGGCAGCCTACATAGGCAGATGCTTTTACCACTGATGAACCTCCTGTGCTTTCCCAAAGGGGAGTCCCAGTCAGCAAGATTGAAGCAGGTTCAACACAAGGGCATTGTCTGCTCTTTGCAGGGGTGAAAGTCTTACTGGTATTGGGACCTGGCTCCAGAAGGGGCGGAGTCTCTGGCAGAAGGGACTTGGGGTTTGTCCCCAGATGTGGCATTCTCTTTGGAACATTCTGATCTACAACATAGACTGTGGGAGTGTAGGATCTATTTCTTCAATAGGGAATAAGAACTTTCATCCCCCTGCTCCTAAAATTCATGCCTCTCACTCAAGCTATTCATTTGGCACACAATGGCCAGCTTTATTTCCATCCAGCAGAGGGCAGTGGCTCCTCTTCAAAGAGCCAGTTAGTAACAGTACATTGTTAGCCATTATTACAAATGAAAATGGAATATTGTCCCACTTTTATGTTCATTTACACTTAGAAGTGTTCACTGCTGTGCGTTATTTTTAACCCAGTTTATGTTGTCTCATCCTAACAGGCTCACCTCTTCTCAAACAGTATCCCAATACTAAACAGATTTTTAAAAATAACCTACTGCCTTATTCATCTTGCCAAACTCTGTTTCACCTAAAGTAGTAAAACATCCACTTTTTAATTTGTATAATTTGTCTCCAGATGTGCTGACATCTTGGAATTAATTTATCACTATTTCTCTAGCACCTGCAAACTGCTTACCACCTGATTTCCTAGCATGAAGAATTCACAGCAAAGCCATAAGAGCAATAGAGAGAGAGATTGCTCTGCGAGGTAAAATTAATCAATGTAGCATACGATTTTTTCAGAAATAATTTTTTATTCAAATTTTGGTGGATAAAATCAAATGTTTATTTTTAAGACTTTTTTTCATTCTTGTTTATCTTTTTCATTCTTATTTTCATGATTGCCTGGAATTATTTGTTTTGAGAGGTTGGTTTTTTTTGCTTTTATCAATTTAAGTTTTCACAGTTGCAGGAAATTGGGACGGGGTATCAGAAAAAAATTAATGACAGCAGGCATGAGATTAAAACAGTTAAATATCTATAAATCAGAAACACAAGCTGTCAATATGTGTCAAAATATACATAGTAAATATCCTTTTCCATCTCTTCAAATGCAGGTATTACACCATGCTTTACACATATGAATGTGGGATGCTGATAAGTTCTTAATCAGCATTTTTCTTGTTTTATTTTAATTGCTAGGAAATATTTTTTGTTGAGTTTTGAGTATACGGTGAAATTTACTGAATAAATTCTAAGCCTAAATATGATAGCCATTGTCAGTGAGATACATCCTTCCACCAGTATAAATGTAAAACTCATTTTGACCTGGAGGCAAGTTAGGCTTGTGTACCAGAAGAAATTTGGTAAGTGCTCTGATCTTACAAACCTACAGGGAGTCTGCAGATTTGTCTCCCATTCCTTTCCCTATCCCAGAACTCTCAAAGGCATTGTCTCTAACAACAACAGCTATATTTTTAACTGCATGCCAACTAATTGCTTATACTTACATATAATTGTTTCTACAATGAAGGCACAAGTGAAGTATACAATAGAGTTTAACAGGAGAAAATAATTATTTGCCATATTCAGAGAGTGGTACAGTGACAAAAGCTTTCTGCAAATGTGCAGACTTTATTTCCAACAGCAACAGCAGTGAATTCAAATATCAGTCTAAGATAATTTAATAGATCAAGGGTTTGAGTGGGAGGTACGGACTGGAGTCCAAATCTAGTTCCCAGTGGAAGGATGTCCGCATCATGAAATTCACCATAAAAACTAAAACAAAAAACAAGAGATTAACAAGATGGTTTATTAGGTGATGAGCTTTTGTGGGCCAGACCCACTTCCTCAGATCAAATAGTGGAAGAAAATAGGCATGACCATATATACCAAAGGGATACAATCAAACAAAGTGAACACTGAAAGCGAACAATCCATTAAGATCAATTTCTGTATGTTCACTTTTTGTTGTTGTTGTATCCCTTTGGTATATATGGTCATGCCTATTTTCTTCCACTATTTGATCTGAGGAAGTGGGTCTGGCCCACAAAAGCTCATCACCTAATAAACCATCTTGTTAGTCTTTAAAGTGCTACATCGTCCTGTTTTTTGTTTCAGCTAGACTAGACTAACATAGCTACATCTCTATTACCATAAAAACTGGCAGCCTCAGCAAAAGCACTTGTAAGAGAATGGGTGTAGATGTATTTCAAACCAGTTTCTGTTGTGAGCTCAATACTGAAACCAACGAATAAGAAAAAGCATATAGTTTGGTTATTTCATAACATGTTGCTGAAATTACACTAATACCATTATTTAGGTACACATGATGGTACTCTCAACTGAATGTTGTTCTCTTTGGCACGATCTGTGACAAATGAACAAACACAGCATCTTCATACAGCTATGGTGACTATCTGTCCCATTTTCACTGGGACTATCCTGTATTTAAG